TATTATATTGTCATATGTTACATATTTATTTATTTATTTATTTATTTATTTGACTTTGTATTGACGTTTTAAAAATTGCGAAAGACACAGTACTCTGGTTTTCTATTTTCTCAACGCGTTAGTGACTAAGTTTCCTGCTAACAGTCAACATCTATTTTTCTTCGTGCTCACTTCTGTCAGTTATACATTGTTCATCAAAACAATGGTTAATTTTGTCGGGGGTTTGCTGTAAATTTGATTTATTGTATTAATCTGGTATGTAAACATATATATTTTTGTAAATTTATAATTATTTGTATGATTAAGCGCATTAAGAGTATATTTATATGTATATAATTGTTCATAGATTACTTGAAAAGGGCTGCAATGACAGCCGAAACGTTGTAATTTAACTAATAATTTTTTAAATAAATTATTGCCAGTCTGGTCGACTTTAAAATTGGAGGAGAGATTTTAAAAAAAAATATGTTTTTTTTTTAAACAGTCTAATATATATATATATATATGTATTATGTATGTATGTATGTATGTATATACAGGGTGTCCTGCAACTGATGTCTACAGTGAAACTTTGTATTCTTGAGATCATTCTAAAAATAAAGATGATTTTGAAATTTTCAATATTTTCTCCATCTATAAATTTTTTAATAATAAATTTTTTAATAATAAAGAAACTTTTGAAATATGTTTATTCATGAAAAAAAAAAAATATGTTTTTTTTTAAACAGTCTAATATATATATATATATATATATATATATATATATAATCAATATAAAATAATAATAATATACAATAAATATAATAAAAAAATTTACAATGATATTTTATAATGTCCCCATGGCAATGTTTCGGTGGTTTCAGATACGATATACCGCTTGTCATCGTGTGAACTTAGAACAATTTTTGTCTCGCAAATGATGTATATATATATATATATATATATATACCTATCGATTTATTTAGCTATCTGTCTGTCTATCTATCGAACTATCGATCTACCTATCGATCAACCTATCTATCTATCTATCTATCGATCTATCTGTCTCTCTGTGTTCCTGTTTCTGTCTCTCTGTCTCTTCTCTCTTTTCTACATTGCATTCTTTCATACATGCACACGTATATATAATTTTTTTAAAATAATCTGCATTACATAAATAAAAATAATTAAATTTATAATCTAAAAATCTATAAAAATCTTTTATGAATATAATTGATTATAAAGTTTAAGTGGATAATTTTTTGTAATAAATAAATGATTTATATAATTTAGTCTTATCTAACTACTGCTCTGTTTTGATAATAATAGTATTATTATATTCAATCTTCAAAATACTTTATATAAATCATTTATTTATTACAAAGGATTATTTTATAATCAATTATAATTATTATAGATAAGCTTATTATACACATACACACACACGCACACACACGCACACACACACTTACATATAACTTGTTAGCTAGAATGTGGACAAAAAAAATTTTTGCCACACTCATATATGTATATATATATATATATATATATATATATATGTATGTATGTAGATTAGGGTGTAAAAATTTTTTTGTCCACATTTTAGCTAACAAGTTATATGTGTGTGTGTGTGTGTGCGTGTGCGTGTGCGTGCGCGCGCGCGTGTGTGTGTGTGTGTAAAAACAGGCCTATCTTTTATAATTGATTATAAAGTAAATAATTGAATAAAAATAATTAAATTTATAATCTAAAAATATATAAAAATGTTTATAAATATAAAGTTTTAGTGTATAATTTTTTGTAATAAATAAATGATTTATATAAAATTTTTTTTTTAAGAGTATTGAATTTATATAGAGCAGCATCATTATTATCACACACACAAAAACACTAAAACTTTATATTCATAAAAAAATTTTATATATTTTTAGATTATAAATTTAATTATTTTTATTTTGGTAATGTAGATTATTTTAAAACAATTATTATATACGTGTGCATGTATGAAAGAATGCAATGTAGAAGAGAGAAAATAGACAGAGAGATAGAAACAGATAGATCGATAGATAGATAAATAAATAGATAGACAGATAGACAGACATATAGATAGATAGATAAATAGATAAATCAATAGATAGTTCGATAGATAGACAGACAGATTGTTAAATAAATCGATATATAAGTGTATATATATTCATATACAGGGTGTCCCAAAAAGGACGGAACACTGAAAAATCTCGAAAAGTATACGTTTTACAGAAAAAAGTTTCAGACAAAAGTTGTAAAAAATCTATTAATTGATCTTATCAGTTTGACCTTGGATTGCGTTACCAAGGTTAGAATAAGATCACCTTGAATTTCTTAGATGGAATCCTATATTTTTTATTACATATTCTCGTAGCTTATTTAGAGAGCTTTCCAAAACACTAATAAAATTATTGTATAACGCCGTCTAAGGTCAAATTGATAAGATTAGTAAATAGATTTTTTTCCTACAATTTTTGTCTGAAACTTTTTTTTGTAAAACGTATACTGTTCACAAACGCGCTGCGTGAGAGAGGATCGCGCGGCACAACAGGATAAGTCACCTTTTGAATAAAAGAATTTAATTCTCAAACACACTTAATTAATTACATAATATTTGTCTCGCAAATGATGTATACCTTATGCAGCTTTGGATCTTATGCAAGATTGTTGACGCGTCATTTTAATCTCTTCATTCAAGCACTGCGTATAATCGTCAAACGTTATCGTTCTCGCGATAACGTTACTCTTGACATTTTTGACTTTTTTTGTATCTTTCTTACCATCCACTCGCAAAGCGTACATTTTTGTTCTAAACCCTACAAATTCAGTCATTATCGAGCCGTTGTTTTCATCTTTCATTAGACCTGGTACTTTTTTATTCACTAGCGGTATACCGTACGCATTGTCCGCAGCGTAATCGCTCGTATCAAATTTGCATACATCGCGCTTCATATTCTCATACACGTCTTCGCATTGAATGTGATATATAAGACTATCTGTGTCGGTGTACATTATCCGGCATTTGTCAGGATACAGCGGTGACATGTATTCGTGATGAAACTCGTATAAACACGTTTTAGAAATGTCGAGTATGCACATGCCTACACATAGATTGGTTTATAAAATTTTACTTCAAATTTACGTAATTTTACGGCAATTAAATTATTTGAAAAGATGCTTCTACTATAAAAATTTGGTTTTGCAATCATTGCCTCTACACCGTATCTCCCTTCCCAATATGTTATAAGTTTTACATCAATTCGATTACGCACATTTTCCATCATCTTACCAAATACAGCATTATTTATCAGTTTATATAAATTTTTTGATACTCTAAATCTACTTCAAGGATATAGCCTTTAGATGAATCGAGCGCAATAGATGATACATCAAAATTAGATACATCATCGACTCATCGAGAATCGGCATAAGGCAATGGTTGACACATTGCCCATCCGTACAAATTATTTACGTCAAAATACATGAAATACGATGATGGTTTCAATGGATCATACGATTGCATATACTTGTTATTAGCATGTGCATATCTGCTTGAACATTGACTTATGTAGACCACCGCGTATACTCCGTTCGATAAACATGACCATGCCAATGTCTGTTAATAATTCAAACGTAATATTTGTATGTTTTAACATGGCATCCCATGTATATTCCGGAAGGGTATAATAATACGCGGGGTCGAGTCCATAACTTTTAATACAACTATCCCGAAAATTTTCAAAAATATCTGCTAATAACAAGACATCGATTTTCAAATATAGATCGCTATATTCGTCTAGCGTTCCAAGGGAAAATCGTTTTCAGACGTTCTCGGCGTGCGCGTAATCGCTCTCGATACTGTGTCACCGATCAAGGAACTGTAGAATGAGTCACGCGGTGGTAAACGTGTATCTTGCAATTTAACTACACAATCTATATATTCATACGGAAAGACGCCCGTCCGAGTTAATAAATTGAATTTTTCAGCTATCAATGCGAGTTTTAATTGGCTTCTGCTTTTCTGCTAAGGTGTGAATCCGGCCTTAGAATCGGTTAATCTTTAAAAATTTATTGATTCTCAATTAGTTTCATTGAAGAGAACAGTTGGTTATAGTTTAATATTTTTCTAGGCACGAAAATGTTTTGCCTTGCTTGTCACATCATGGCTTATCTGCGGGTCTGCGATCTGCAGATAATTTAATATTTTAATATTTTAAATATCGTCTTACGTTCTCCGAAAGAAAGAATCGTAAAGTAAGCAGGGCCTAATACTAGAGTAAATCTCATTTAGAGAGCTGTCAACTAGCTTATCTTTAAGGCACCGCGAGTTATAGTTTAGAATTTATAGATTAGTCTGTTTGGCTCTCGCGGTTTGTACATCTTTTATTTTGACGATTTAGCTCTCTCGGATTATGTTTACTTTGCCTGTCAGATCGTATGCTTACGTGAGTTTTCTATGCGTCTGCTATATTTTAGATATCGCATTGCGTTCTCCGAAAGAAAGGATCGTGGAGACTGCAGGACGTAACAATATTTAATAATTATTTGCGCGATAATTACGGCGTTAGTTCCTTTGTCTTTCTTTTTTATTTTTATATTTAAATTTATGCAACCTGTATCTACTTATTTAATTTAATTATTTAAAACAAATATTTTGTATTGTTCTTGAATCTTTTGTATCATTATATTATTATCATATTATGTATTTAAGTTCATATCAATATTATGAAACGTATTCTTCCAAGGCAAACGATACTCTATTGTTCCTATACATAAAATCAAAACATTATTTCACTTGTGTAAGAAGCAAATAAAGCAAACTTTAAGGCATAATAACTTTTAGTCATTCAAGCAATATTCAACAGAAATCGTTATCTCACATTTCGCATCTCACTCAAAATGTTTTACATAAAATTAATTGCATCTTTTTCAAGCATTAAAGAAAGTTATTTTATTATCAATATTATTATAACTTACAACTGAATCACATTAAGAATTACATGTAACACATACATTTTTTATTTATTTTAATTTATTTCGCTGTTTCGAAGAGCACGTTTTTTCACAATTTTGGCAGATGCAGTTTTTAAATCATAAGCTAAACCTAGATAAGCAAAAAAATCAATAAAAGCTGTAGCAATATTGAGCTTATAATTTCCAAGTTCCGCCGCTTTGTAATCCCAAGGGAAAACGTGATGATAATTGTGCCAGCCTTCGCCACACGATATAAAAGAGACAACTGCATTTTCGGTGGGGCTAATTGATCTGTGATAAAATAAACATTTCTAAATAGTACCACGATATAATACAATAAACAATTTATTAATTTTGAATGATAGTATGTATATGTTTTTATTAATTTTAAATAATAGTATGTATATGTTTACATATAATAAGTTGTACAGCATATAAGTACAATATATATAAATATAATATGTACACACAAAAGTATGTACGTACTTATCATATGGTTTCACACCCCACATGTGAGCTGCGGAATTTATTGATAATATTGTGTGTAAATTTATGACACATCTAGTCATGTTAAGATGCCACGCACACCACAGATTCTCACTCCATACCCACCAAGGTATTAATGTCGGTATGATAAAGCAGCAAAATAACATCAAATATCGGTACCATCTAAAAAAAGTATAAATAAAAGAAACAAAACCATTAAAGTTAAATAAACAATATATACATATATTTTTTAAATTAAATTTGCTCCTGCAGAATAAACTATGTCCATCGTACTTTCTCTGAAAGACCACAAGGCAATCTTGTTTAAGATCACTCAAGTCGATCATAGCACCCTTGCTGATGACGTCTGGATGTTTATGAACCAAAATCCAACCAATATGCGAAAAAAAGAATCCTTTACGTGCATTATATGGATCTGCATCAGTGTCAGTAAATTTATGGTGTACTCTGTGATCCCTAACCCATCCGTAAATGTGACCCTAAAATACAACTTATTAAAAATCAAATGATGATGTACGGAGGTTATAAAGAGGAGTACGGACTCGGCATCTTTACACGTATAAAATCTGCAGCAATAAAGTCGGGAAAAATAAGGGTCGACTATTTCATCACATGCGGCGCTTTGTTGCATTGCTTGGAATTTATTTACCAATTTTATATATTAAGAGATACGGTAGTGTCTCGCGCCCTGTTACCGGAATAGCCGATACACCGTGTATCTTTACGCGAAGCGGAGAGTTGAGTCTACTATAAATTTCGAATGCTCAATAACGGCTGAAGCAATCGAGTTTATACTAAACTTAATCGATAGATTGGGTTTGAATTATATAATAAAAGTGTTTTTATTTCTGCTCTACGTACTTTGTAAGCGGAAATATTTATATGCAAAGTCTAAGTATGAAAAATTTCTTTTAAGAAACGTCTCTGTCACCGTCGTCATCATTCACGCAACAGCCAATCGCATGCGTTAAACTCTGTACAGTTTGAGCGTTCGACACAAGATTGCGCTGAAGGCGCTTCGTATGTACTGATACACGTTGACGTGCGGGGTTATATATTTGATTTGATTTCTTGACATGTACATACACACATAACAGGTATGTGTGTTTTGATATTTATTTATAATATACTATATTTTTTTATATAAGAATATCTATTTTCTTGTTACGCAATCATCCTATTATTTTTTTCATAAGATTAACAATTATATTCTTATGAAAAAATAATAGAATGATTGCGTAACAAGAAAATAGATTATATTATTATGAAAAAAATATAGTATATTACATATTATATAGTATTGAATACAACATGTATTTAAGTAAGTATATAAATGCATATTTATATTTTGATATTTGCAACTACTTTCTTGTTATGTTATCATTTTAAATTATTTCTTTTATAATAATAACTTTCTTGCTACACTTTCTTTTTTTATAAGTACATAATTATTGATGTAAAATAAGGAAACAATCTTTACCAATAATAATGATTTATATATTTATGAAAGATGTAGTACAATGGTAACGTTGCAGAAAATTATTATGAAAGAAATAGTATAAAATGATAACGTAACATAATAAAAGTAACAAATATCAAAAAGTTTATCAACACAAATATCAAATATTATTATATAAATATATATTGTATTTATGAAAGAATATGTTTGTGATATACTAAATATGTGATATGCAATACTGTACATATATGTGATTATATTATGAAAATATTTTTTCATATAATAATATCTATTTTCTTGTCACGCCATTATCCTATTATTTTTTCTAAAATATTATAAAATTAACAATTATATTCTTATGAAAAAATAATAGGATGATTGCGTAACAAGAAAATAGATTATAATAGTCTGTTATATATGTATATATATATATATATATATAGTAAGAAATAACCCGCTGTGGAGACACCTTTAGGTGTCAGGGCGTTTGAGGTGGTGCTTATGTAGAGTGTTGGCGAGCGAGCGCCACCGGAAGTTGACAGGACATAGAGAGACGAGCGCGGGCTGAGACAGTCAGTCTCTCTAGAGCCTTCCTTGTAATACTTACTTACTTAAGAATATACTAAGTTTACCACTAAGGTGATTACTGATTAATCCCTGCCTCATTATTTTGACCTATGTTCTTCCATGATTAGGAATCAAACGACCCTCTTACAGCCTCAGAAGTGGGATAAAATCTATCCTCTCATTCCTGGCTCTCGACGTCCGCAGTATCGCAATTATCAACGCGGAAGTACGTCGATCGTTTATGCGATTATACCGAGCTTTGTCTTTTTGCGGATACACGTGGCTCGCGGTCAGTATCGCAGACGAGGTGAATAATGAATAATCGGTTCAAGCAGTTAAGAGACTAACAAGGGAAGTTCGGCAAGTGTAAAATTCAAAAAAATCTGAAACTTTGTATAAGTTTAGAGTAGATGAACCTAATCACGAAACAATTTTTTTTAGCTGCTGATATTCGGTTTTAGGGGTGCAGCATCCCCTTAAATAAAATCGGTGTTTACGTTTTCAAGCGAATATCGCCGAAATAATGAGAAATATAAAAAAATGTTTCCAGCAAAAGTTTTATGGTTTCGAAAGCTCTTTATAATGGCATGATCATATTTTGCAAAAATGTTTAATTTTTCAAAATACCCCCACCACGTATCTTTTTTTTTCATATTTAAATTTTTCTTGCAACTAAAATTAAAGTTTATTTCACGCCAAATTCAACCATATATAATAAAGTTGCGATCCGTAAACGTGTTTTTGAGAAATAAACTGAAAACATCCTTACAGGGTATGCTGTCAATTTTATCGGCCCGCTAATTTTGGCTACGACTTCTCTTTCTCCCCTTCTCTCTGTAATTTTTCGCAATACAAGATAACGATGAAACAGATGTTCGTAATAAATCTAATCACGTAACTGATTTTTGTATATTACACATTTTATAAATAATATAGTAGTTTTTACAAAAATAAGATATTATTTATTCTATATAATTGTTACAATAATGGTATTGTTCAAAGAAGTGTTCAAAACAGAAGTATTTTTTGCACCATGCACAACGTATAAAAGCCATTTTATCACAAATGCTACATTTCGGTATATGTTTTTCTTCTTTAAAATAACAGTAATTGATTGGATTTTCAAACTTTTCAGGCCGTGTTGATAAATAGCCACTTTTATACCAACTATATTCAAATAAATTTCGAAATCTTGGAGAAGAAAGTTGATTGTGTGCCAAAGACTGTAATTTTATAATGTTATTGCGTAAATGTAAATTTATATCGTAATTATTTAAAATAACATTATCAGAGAAGCTTCGAATAAAATTTTTCCAAATTCTAAAGCCAAAAACATCTAAAGGTTGTATAGAACTTGTACCAAAAGACAAACAAGTAAATATTTTAACAATACCAAAAAAAACAACTGCTTTTATACAACCTTTAGATGTTTGAATTAAAATTGACAGCATACCCTGTAAGGATGTTTTCAGTTTATTTCTCAAAAACACGTTTACGGATCGCAACTTTATTATATATGGTTGAATTTGGCGTGAAATAAACTTTAATTTTAATTTTAGTTGCAAGAAAAATTTAAATATTAAAAAAAAAGATACGTGGTGGGGGTATTTTGAAAAATTAAACATTTTTGCAAAATATGATCATGCCATTATAAAGAGCTTTCGAAACCATAAAACTTTTGCTGGAAACATTTTTTTATATTTCTCATTATTTCGGCGATATTCGCTTGAAAACGTAAACACCGATTTTATTTAAGGGGATGCTGCACCCCTAAAACCGAATATCAGCAGCTAAAAAAAATTGTTTCGTGATTAGGTTCATCTACTCTAAACTTATACAAAGTTTCAGATTTTTTTGAATTTTACACTTGCCGAACTTCCCTTGTAAGTCTAAGACTTGTGAAGAAACAAGGAAGTGCTTTGTTCGGTCGCCATATCGAGTATCGAATCCGTGCGGTTTCTGGACAAAATCACGCGACTCTCGTCGCCATATTAGCGCCCGAGTGACTCGTTGAAGCGATCATTCTCGCTCTCTCAGAAGAGATATAGTCCTTTCTATCGCGGAAAAGTGCGTGTTGACATTAAATTTTTTTATTACTACAAAAGTTGTTCTTGGCGTGCCGTTATCGTGTATATACTACGTGGCATTACGCTAGACAATTTTTACGCGTTGGATGTTTTCTAGCCTATTCATCGTACTTTGTGCGTGTCGGCATCATTTGAGCGTTGTTTTCGAAGAATATGAGAGTAAACATTAATTTTTTTTCTTTTCTCGAAATTTTGTTCTTGGCGTGCCGTTATCGGGTATATACTACGTGGCATTACGCTAGACAATTTTACGCGTTGGATGTTTTCTCGCCAATTTATCGTACCTTGTGCGTGTCGGCACTGAATTGGCATCCATTAAGCGTCGTTCCAGAAGAAAAAATAATAAATACTTATTAAAACAAATCGTGCATTGCAAAAACTTCTTACCAAGTAACAGGTGTTGATGTTGATATTTTCCTTTTATGTTCGAACGTAACAATAACATAATTAGATAATCAGATAAGAAATATACGTCGGCTCTCAATATTATTAATAATAATAATACATGAATTTTAAATCGGCCAATAGAGCTCAAGCGCAAAAAATTAATTCTTCGGAACTGTATCTCTTAGTTTGAGATTACTAAGTTCCATATATAAATTAATTTCGAACTTACATATAAAGAAAAATAAGCGAGAAAAATATAGGTCCAAAAAATCGCTGAAGCGAGAATCGAACCCGCGTCTTTCACTTTCCGGGCGACTGCTCTTACCAACTAAGCTATTCAGACCCTTTCAATCCTATATTTTTCATTTGCCTTTTAGTAGATGTTATTAAATAACGCCATGATTAGGCCCAGGTGTAAATAAAATCAGATAAGAAATATATGTCGGCTCTCAATATTATTAATAATAATAATACATGAATTTTAAATCGGCCAATAGAGCTCAAGCGCAAAAAATTAATTCTTCGAAACTGTATCTCTTGGTTTGAGATTACTAAGTTCCATATATAAATTAATCTTGAACTTACATATGGAGAAAAATAGGCGAGAAAAATATAGGTCCGAAAAGTTGCTGAAACGGGAATCGAACCCACGTCTTTAATTTTCCGGGCGACTGCTCTTACCAACTTTTCTCGCCTATTTTTCTCCATATGTAAGTTCGAGATTAATTTATATATGAAACTTAGTAATCTCAAACCAAGAGATACAGTTCCGAAGAATTAATTTTTCGCGCTTGGGCTCTATTGGCCGATTTAAAATTCATGTATTATTATAATTAGACAATGTTGAGAAAACAGCTTAACGGTTATACGCAACAAGCGCTAGAAGAAGAAGTCGCCAAATGCGATCTCCCAGTACCAAATACTCGAGAAAAATGTATCGATGCCATCATGGCATATTTCGAGCATTCTAATGCAAAAA